CACGCCTTTAATCCCAGCACTTGGGAGGCAGCGGCAGTCGGATCTCTGTGAGTTCGAGACCAGCCTGGTCTACAAGAGCTAGTTCCAGGACAGGCTCCAAAACCACAGAGAAACCCTGTCTCGAAAAACCAAAAAAAAAAAAAAAAAAAAAAAGCAACCTCTACAGTTGCGCTTACAGAGCCTCCTGGCAACCTTTAGAGGCCAAGGTCATTCATTCATTCATTTATAAAATCAAAGTCACCTCTGGAATGCTAACCTAATTAGCAGTTTTGGTGGGCCTTCACAGACAAATGGCCTAAATTAAACACCTAGCCAGCATATTGGGAGCCAGTGGCATGACAGGTGATTTCTGTAGTCTCTACCAGCAAACACTGCAGTAGCAGAGCAAAAGCCCTAGGCTGGGCAAGAAAAGGCTCTGCTTATCACACTCACCCAATAAGAGATTATTCTAGTACAGTAAAGAGTGGAAGCCGGGCGATGGTGCGCACACCTTTAATCCCAGCACTTGGGAGGCAGAGGCAGGCGGATCTCTGTGAGTTCGAGACCAGCCTGGTCTACAGAGCTAGTTCCAGGACAGGCTTCAAAGCCACAGAGAAACCCTGTCTCGAAAAACCAAAAATAAATAAATAAATAGAGTGGAAAGGCCTTTCTCATTAAGTTCCTGGTGGCTTTACACTGTTATCTTTCCTTCTTCCTCCTGCGTCCCTCTTCAAAACTCCCATCTCCCTATGGTTAAAACAGTTGCAGCTCCCAGGGTTTCACCTTGTACAGCCTCAGTGCAGCTATGAGAGGGAGTTACCTCCTTCAAAATAGCTCTGCAAACCCATGCAAACAGGAGGGGGATAGAACAGGGGGGAGGGAAGGTACAGGGGAGGGGAGGGGAAGAGAGAAAAGAAAAAGGAAAAAGTGTCAAGAGGGGAAACAGTAACCGAACTGAAACCCGGAACTGCAAAGTGCAGCTGCATCACCCTCTTGAGTAAAAGGCGAGCTGCAGGACAGGCACAGACGGCCGCTTCCCTGAATTTACCCCAGCAACCAGCTCAAGTTATTAGTTCTGTGCTACCGCCTTCCAGAGAACAGGAAACATAATGTTTAGCTGCTCCACTGATGTAAAAATAAGCGTCAATCATGGCATAAAGTGGCCATTCTTGAGCATTCTAACTGTTAAAAACACATTTTGTACCAGACTTGGTGGCAAAGGCCTGTAATCCCAGCTACTTGAGATGCTGGGGTGGGAGGATCACAAGATTGAGGTCAGCCTGGTTCACACCGTGAAACTCTCTCAAAGGAAAAGAGGGCTGAGCATGTAGCCCAGAGGTAAGAGGCCCTAGGTTCAATCAACCCCAAGTACTAGAGGGGAAATACCAACTGACCAAACAAACAATAGCAACCACAACCAAAAAATTCACTATGCAGTGACCTGAGTCTCTAGAAGAGGGAGCTAGGAATGTATTTTTACCAGCAACCCAGCCAATTCCCATCAGTCAGTAGTGGGCTGGGAAAATTTAAGAAAGAATTACATTTTATTAAAGGTCAGTGCAACTCAGTTCCAATTTAGGAACTTCTTAGCAGCCTGAGTCAAGCCTCAGTTTTCTCATATGCAAAATGGGATCATAATATAGCATTATTTAAAGGATTTTTGAAAACATTTCAAAAGAATAACAAAGGTCATGAAGTGTGGTGGCTGAAGATGCCAGTGCACTACGGAAAGCTTCTGTGCAGAACAGGCCTAGAATACTGCCTTAACTTTAACTCTGCACCACCCAGGGCAAAAGGCCACCCGGGCTCTTGTATAACCCCTTCAGTGACCAAAAAAAAAATCAAGTATCTTCTCTCAAAAAAGCAGTCCATTCCTTTGCAGACTTTCGATTATGAGCATTCTTCCTTACAGTGAGCTGAAATATGCCCTGGGTGACAGAACAAATCTAATCCCTTTTCCACATGACAAGGTAAGGCAATTAACTTCAGCAGCTCTGGGAGGAGGGAGGGAGAAGAACCTGGTTTGTTGGAGCAGGAGGTGAGCGGTTTTAGTTTGTGCATATGTCCATCAGGTTGTACGGGCTGGAGGTCATTTCTACAACTGTTTGATGGAGAGCTTTGGGGGGCAATGGTATTGCCATCTCAGGACAAGAGCCAACGAGGTGTTTAGAGACACTGAGCAAGGTAGACAGAGCCTTTGAAGCAGCAAGCAAGACCCTTGGAGAAACACAGGTGATGAAGAGGTCAGACTGGTGCTAAAGAACCAGTGAACCGGTCACTGAGTATGGCGGCCGAGGTCACTGCTGATCTCTGACAAGGGCTCCTTTGGAGCCTTCCTGGGCTGCTCAGAAGGCCTATCACCAGGCTGAAAAGCTGCTCTCATGTCATGCGAGGCCACTGAAAAAAGTGATTGGAAGAAGTGGCAGCAGAGAGTACAGATGACTCCAAACTTTCCCAGTCTGGATGTTAGGAGGATAGGCTTCTGCAAATGATATTCCTTTGTTGATATTTCTAGGGGCAACACTGCCTAAGACCGTGTTTTCTGGACTAAAAACAGTGGAGAAATCTATTCCTCAGAAAAGTACTTGGTATGCAAACATGAGGGCCTGAGTTCAGTCCCTAGCACCTACAGAAAAATGCTGGGCAGGACGGTCCATGCCCCTAATCCCAGTGCTGGGGAAGCAAAGGCAAGAGGATTCCTGGCAGCCAGCCTGGCCTACACATGCACACACAGGTATGCAAGCATACAGTTGAGCACACATACACACAAAGAAGAACCCTATTTTCCTCTGTTTAAGCCCGTATTTGCCCAGTTCAACTAAAGAACTTGCTTTTCTATGCAGTCATAGTAATCTTTTAAGGAACTAGTGTTTCCTACCACAGAATGCAGTGAAAGAAGAGAGGAGGTAATAGTTTAAGGAACTATTGGTATGAATGGAATGCTTTTTTTCCTTATTAAGAATGTAAGAAACAAGCTGAAACTAGTTGTGCAGGCCTGTAATCCCAACTACTCAAAAAGCTGAGGCAAGAGGACCATGTGGGGCTACAAGGCGCTTTACAGGCCAGCATGCATATCTTAAATTTTAAAAATTAATAAATAAAAGGGGCCGAGATGTGGCTGAGTGATAGAGTTCTTGCCTAGCATGTGTGAGACCTTAAGTCCAAGTCCCAACATAGTTCCCAGTCACCACCACCACCAGCCACGAAAGAAGCCAGTGTGTTCACATACAGAAGAAAGTCCAGTAGGACTGTGCCAGGGACAGAGGTGGGCAGACCAACGGGCTAACCCAGGAAGGGGCTCCCGCTCCCAGCTGTAACCATAAAACATCCTTTCTCCCCTGGTTGCATCTAGTGATCATAAGCAGTTCTTATTCCTTTCCTCAGAGGACACAGTTATCTAGGCAGGGTTAGGAGTGGATTGTATCAAACTGCTTCACCAGCAAGGGCGTCCTGGTCTTTCCCTTCCTTCCCAGAGTCCAGCTGACTGCATGCCTTGCCTGAGCCACACAAGGGTGCTCCACATCAAGAGCCAGTGCCCGGTTCCCTACCCAGGCAGGGACAGCACTAGCAGAGGCTAGGCGGAGAGGAGAGATCTAAAAATAAAGCTCTCTGAAGGAACTGTCTTGCCTAAAGAGAGCTTCCCACGCACACTGGAGTGCCACATCTGCGGGGGCTGGAAGCACAGAATGGAACAATCCTGACCAAGTCACATAAGTATTCCCCACTTTTGGGGGTAATAGCACATGATGGTTCCCCCCATCAGAGACCCACTGCCCATGTTGGAGATCCCGAGCAAGGGCTTTAGTGACCACCAGCAGGCCTTTCTTCTCCAGGAGGGAACCTGGGAGGATGGCTGGGCCTTGCCAAGCCTCTCTTCTACCCTTTTCTGCTGCCAGCAGGAGGCGAATGCAGCAAATGCTCTCCACCCACAAAGAGCAGAGTGCAGGGTTCACTTTAGAAAAGAGCTCAAAGGGCTCTAGTGGGCCTCAGATGCACAAAATGCTCCCTAGGCTGACTCCCTGCAGCAGGGTCAGTGATAACCAACTGTGGAAAAAGAAAAGGAGCACGTGAGAACTGCAATTAGCATTGACATCAGCTAGCTACCGTCATTTCACACCCCAAGGACACAATAATTGTCACGTTACCAGGCAACTGGCCTCTCCTTCCCGCCTCCAGCAAGTATCAGAAGCCACCATAAAATGTTCAACCAGTTAAATAAGCCTGGAACTACTTCGGGCTCTGGGAAGTAACCCCACCACCTTTCTATAAGGTGTCTGCCCTTTAGAGCTACAATGTACTGGTGGCCAGATTTTGCTCAATAGCCCGGCAGGAAGGAAACTACCCCTAATTCTAAGAAAAGTTCAGTACCCCCCTTATCAGTCTACCAGTTGAAGGTTTTGTACTTTGACCCCTCAAGGGTCAAAAACTCAGTCTTGACAATGTCACCACATAGCTTTCATCAGTTCGTACAGTGTGATCATCTGTCCCTGCCTTTCTCTTCTTAGGGAGCATACACCATTTTGTCCTATGAATCACATGCAGCGGGTGGAGAGAGGGGGATAGAAACACAGCAAAACATGCAGAATACAGCAACCTGCCAGCTCTTTGGTCTCTTAAGAGACACTATACTAGAACACTGTGATAACTGATATGCTCAAACACAAACCCTTGTGCCTATCGTGACTATATGGAAGTGGAAGGGGATGGGGATGCTAAGCTTTCCCCTCAAAGCACAGACTGCAAGCACCATGCTTTGAATATTCAAGTGTTATTTGAATGCTGACTAGCAACAATCACCTAATAGTTGTACAATTAGAGCAAACTGAACATTTCCCGTACTGACTGACTCATTCATGAGTGAAGAGGAAGAAACCAGTTCACAGAAGGGAGGAGATACTGACCATAAAATACACAGCCTGAGCACACAGTGCAAAGTGTAGTTTTAGTGCAGGGAGTACACAAGCCCCACCCTACCAGTTAGAGAAGAAAGGCTAGGCCTGGCGCTCAGAGGGGCAACTTACCTGACATACAAGGACCTCTTCTCACTGGTTCGGAGAGACCCAGACCCAGAGCTCATGCTGCTGTTCATCATTTGTTCTCGCAAGTCATGTATCTTGGATTCAAAGCGACTATACTCTGTCAGGGAGACAAGGGGAAAGACGGGAAAACAATGAACCCAAGGAGCTCCCTGGGCCAGCACACCCGCGGCCACAAAGCCAGGAGACTTAGCTTCAAAGCAGCCGGGAGGTGGAATCTTTGCTTTGATAAGCAAAGTCCCTCCCCCAGGTTGAGAAAGACAGACCAACACCCCCCCAGAGAAAAAAAGCACCAAGAAAAAAAATGTTGCATTTGGGCTTGTCAAATGGAAACTGCTTTTATCTGCTTCAAAATCTCACTGATCTTTAAAAAATAACAACTGGAAAGAGGTTCCAGGGTAGCCTTTATAAATCTTTAGAGAAGGCACTAAGGCCAAAGGAGAGCAGATGGGCAAGGAGACTTTCCCAAAAAGCCCAGTGCAGAGAACAGATGGCCCTGAGATGCAGGGCAGGGGGGCTGGAAAGGACCAGCGGCTATTCAATCACTGTGAGGTAAGGAGGACAGCTTTCCCAGGACGACTTTTTAGTGAGGAGATAGTGGATCCCAGTACAAAGTCTAAAAAGAAACAAACTGCAATCATTTGTCAAGCATTAAATCTAATGTCTTCTTACACAACATTTTTCAGGTCTATAATTGCTTTGTAAAATGGGGCATACTGAGAGACACAGGCTTATAGAAATGGCAGAAAACAAGGCATACTTCAATGACAAGCTAACTTTAAAAGCTGTCAAAATTTATACTGGACGTTGAAGGTTGGACAACTGCTTAAAAACACTTCCAGGGAAAAACTTCCACAAAAGCATTTTCATGCACCATAGAGGGGCTGGCAAGAAGAACCCCACCTAGTCTGTGTGACTCTGTGGGAGAAAACACAACACCTGCTCCAACACCTGCCCTCCCCCTTGCCTCCCTCAGCTCCCTGGGCAAAGCAACCTGACCTTCAGCTGGGTGAAAAGGGAAATGCTAAGAAGCCAAGCGGGAGGAGGGAGTGGAGTTAAAAGTCAGGTAAATAACCTCTTCTCAAAGTTGGTTTTCTTCACAGTGGTATCAATGAAGGCAACTAGTTAAATTCGTGTGTTCTTTCATTCATCACGCACCGAGTGTTACAGTGATTTGTCCTCATTACTTAACTCCTGTCCCTACTATCCTGGAGAAAGCACTGGAGTCACTGACTCACCTATTAAATGTGGGGGGAGGGGCACAGCAGCTGGACATTGTCCCTGTTCTGAGACTTACAAGGCAGCACATCAATATAAATAAGGCGTCTTAATCTAAATGTAAAGGGTGGTGACTGGTTTGTCATAGCCGCCTTAGGCTGTGCAGAGAGACAGGCTACTGACCTCACCCCAGGGCTTAGCCTCTAACCCTGAACAGGGATCATTTCTTGCTCCTTCCTTCTGGCCCTCTCTTCTGGCTCACTCAGGGAGGAACCTTGCAGGCAAGAGATTTGACTAGGCAGCACGTCCTTGATGATAATGAACCAAAGAACTATACACAGAACCCGGAACCAGACTAGCACAGTGGCTCATACCTATAATCACAGCACCCATAGGACTAGGGCAGAAGGCTCATAAGTTCCAGGCTAGCCCAAAGTACAAAATAAGACCCTGCCTCACTAAAACAACACAACCCCTAAACTCAGAACAATAACAGCAAAATGACATCCAATTTGTCTCCAAGCGTTTTGCTCTTGTCTATGCATTGCCTTCTTTGGAGGTGACCCTGTCCACTGAACTCTAACTGAGCAGCAGCAGGTCATAGCGGTTGCTTAGTAACTGTGTTTTTCAAAAAATCCTTTAAAAACAACCACCAAACCACCATTTCCTCAAAACTCATAATCCAAGGTTGATAATTCTGGACCAGAGGACCCAATTAAAATAACAGAGGGAAGGGGAGCAAAGTTGCTGCTTTGAGGAATCTGTTATTGGTTTTCAAGTTCCTTAGGCTGTGTTATTAATTTTTCTTATTCAGATGAGCCCCCTAGAGTTTCATTCCTTATCAGTTTCTGGCTTCTATTTAGATAGTTATCTAATGTCCATAGGCACCTAGTAGCCTGTGCTAAATAACAAGTAAATGAGGGACAATTTAGAAAACTGTATCCATCTCTTATCAAACTAATAAAGCAAATGATTTATTTAACTGGTGGGGCCAGCTTCACAGAGGATTTTCAAAGGTAATAAAAAAAAGTACTGAGGGGCTGGAGAGATAGCTCAGCGATTAAGAGCACCAGGTTGCTCTTGTGGAGAGCCCAGAGTTTGGTTCCCAGCCCCCACGTGACAGCTCACACCTGTCTCTAACTACAGTTCCAGGAGAGGTGATGCTTTGGTTCTAGAGGGTAACTCCTGGGAGCCACTGAGATTGCCCAACACCCTTTAGGGTGTTAATAACCCCCTGTTGGGCACTGAGTTAACAGGGCAGCAGTGCTAGGGAGGGAACAGAGGCCTTCTGCATGCAAGGCAGAAGTAAGCTATATGCTAGACTGGTTAACAGACTTTGTACAGAACAAAGACAAAAGGTCATTCCAACAAAAAAGCATGTGGAATGAACTTAAGACAGTGACTCTTAATATTGTTAAATATTTCCCCATGACAAAAGCATCACTTAAAAGAACAGCTCAATTGCAAGACTTCGCAAGATTTTTCCTTCCCTTCCACTTACCAGTAAAACAGTCATTATTTGGAGGGCATCTCTTAGGCCCAAGTCACTGCGTAGGAAGCTACTTGACCAGCCTTCCTTCTGAGAGGCCCCACTTCAAATAGGCTACTTTAAAGAAGCACCACCTATTACTAAAATCTCAAGTCTATTAAACTGCACTTTATTCATTTTTCCCATTCAGATAAACGCAACCATTTGTGACCCACAAAGATATCCATGATGAGTCATCCTTTGCTTCCTCCTTCCCTTTTACCAATGCTAATCACACAGAAAGAAAGAAGCCAGAACGGGCACAAATAGAAGCCAGTACAGAAAGAGGGTTTCTCAAGGACCATACATAGCAGGCCTTAAGATCAGAATTCTGGAAAGCCCCCCCTACCCAACCTCTGATACACTGCATCAAAAGTCACTGAACAGAGCTGAGCCCTGGGATCGACCTCCAAAAAGCATCAAGGAACTGCCATGCCCCATCAAGTTGGAAATTGCTGGTCTGGGAGGGAATCGGTTTGGTTTCAGTCCTTCAGAAAGCTTTCAAAGGAAGGCATGGCAAGAAGGACTGGGTGCTCCCCCAAATAAACCTGACAATACAATCTCAAATCCACAAAAAAGTACCATGCAAAAGAGGCCATTGCCTAATGTGAGGTTTCTTTTCTTTCTTTTTGTTTTGTTTTGTTTCGGTTTTTGGTTTTTCGAGACAGGGTTTCTCTGTGTAGCGCTGGCTGGCCTGGAACTCACAGAGATCCACCTGCCTCTGCCCCCCAAGAGTTGGGATTAAAGGTGTGCGCCCAGCTCTGGAAAGTTAAAAAAAACTCACCCTGCTTTGTATGTTGCATGTGTGTGTTTTCTCACCCCTCAATAAATGCCTTTTTTCAACTGCAAAAAAAAAATCTACAAAAGTAACACATGATTCATTAAACATTTTGCAGCACTGGGAGTCAAACCCAAGACTTCACATATGCTAAGGCGGGTACTCTACCACTGGGCTTCAGGCCAGCCTTTGACTTTAAAAAATGTTTCCACTTTCTTCTTTTGAAATTTCTGTATGGTTTCCTCTTTCCACTATTCAGAAGCAACCACTGTTAGTATTTTTCTTATGTGACCATCCAAGCTTACCTTCATACATCTTTTATATCAATGTATTCACAGATCACACAGATTCATACACATACTTTTTTATTCTCTGATATGTCACAGAAACCTGCTCACATTCACTACAAAAATATAAGACCTCATACATATTAATGGCCACAAAGTGTTGCATGTTGTGGAGGCCATAATATCTTCTTCAGTCATATCCTGGTCAATGTACATTTAAACTATTTGCTCACTGGGACAGGGTCTTGCTATACAACCAGGATAGCCTAGTGTTCAGTTGTTGTATAGCCCAGGCTGGCCTTCAATTCAATGCAATCCTGCCTTTGTCTCTGTAGTGTAGGGATTACAGGTGTGCACTAACATACACATAATAATTTTTAATATTGCAATCAATGTTGCATTATAATTGTATGAACCCATCTGAAGTATAGATTTCCCAAAGTGAAAGTTCAGAGTCAAATGACCAATCACTGCACATCCAAATCACAGGGCTCAGGATACAGGACAGTGGTAGAGCATTTGCCTAATATGCATATGACCCCGAGCTTCATCTCAGCGCTACAAAAAAGCAAATTTTTGCTTGTCACTACACTAAATGGAACCCTAACATTCTGAAGCCCTTCTGACTGTGGAAATAAAATGATATTTGGAGGCTTCCAGAAGTTTTTTGGTTTCTGCAGAAGTAGAGGCAAAATTTACCTTTGAGGACAGACTGATCTTTTGTTTGGGAAATAAGACTTTAATGAGCCTTTCAGTAATGCAAAGTAAAGGCAAGATTTTACTCTGGAACAGAAACCATTTCCTGACCTTCTGACTAAGATGAAGTATGGAAAGGAAGAGACAAAGGAAGGTAGAACGTTCTCTGCACAATAATGGAAAGGGCTGCTCTACTGGTGGGTGTAGTTGCTAGTACTCTAGCATTAGGCCCCAGTCACAGGTCTCCCTCTCCCTTTTCCAAGCACTGTTAATTCCTTGTTTCAGCTACGACCTTTAAGATGTTCTACCTACCTGCCTCTATAAACATCTAAGACTAGACTTGACCACCCAGTGTGCCTTCTCCTACTCAAAACCCAAGCCTTTCTTTCCTGACACTAAAATGTCCCAATACTATAACTGACACCCCCACTTTTCCTGTGCACAGCCAACATGTTTCCCAAGTTCTGATCTTTCTTCTTGATCACATCATGTCCTCAACCTACCTCTTGCTTTCTGACTATTGCCTTTCTACTGTTTTCTTTCTTTTCTCTTCATTTTCTCTTGACTATTTTATTTTCTTTAGAGACCAGTCT